ATCATTTTAATTGATTGTGTGAAAACAAGATATATATTGGCCAAAAAAAAAAAGATATATATCAACCTCATTTATAAATTCCCCTCCCCCAAAATAATCTAAGCTAATTAATAAGAAAAAAATTAATTTATTCTATATATATTTTCATTTTGGACAAAAAGCATGTCTTTTGAACTTTATATTTGTGAAAATTAAAGAACAATAAGTACTGTACGATGCCATATCACACGTATAAATTCATGGAAAACTGTAAACTTGACATATATATATATATATATATAGAGAGAGAGAGAGAGAGATGCTAGAACTATCAGCTAGATTCGAATAGAGTAGGTGTTAATTAGTTAGGAAGATAATGAGCTAAAATGATATGCTTAATGATCAGAGACAGTGAACGGAACAACCAAGTGTGGTTCCATGTCATCCTTAAATTAACTTTATTAACAGAAAGCATATTGGAAGAAGACTCTTGGATTTGGATACTAAGCCTAACCTACAAACACACACACAAATATTAGTAGGCAGTCTTTTTTATAAATATTTAGTTAAAAACGAATTCAAAAAACTAGCTGTCTAGCTAGCTACTAATATGCTTTCTTTTTTGCTTCTATTTTTGGAAGCAAAATTTATGTCTTATTGATGAATGGTCAATCTGCTGGAACAGTAGATATACTTTTGCTGTAAGGATGACATTATTGATTAATATTATATATAATATATTATCTACAAGACTTGGCCGCCCACGTTTATATCCTCAACTTCACAACTTAAAATATCTACTCTATATATATATATATATATATATATAATGGGTTTAATGTTCTATTTTTACTATCAGGTTTCGAAACTGATGTGATTTTTAGAAAAGGGTGAACAATACATGGCTATAATAAAGTAGTTCATGATGTTACTAATGGCCAATCTGCGGGAAGAGCAGATATGCATTTGCTGTAAAAAGATGAAATAATTTATTAATATTACATAAACACGTTTTCCCTTAATTAACTTTACACCTTTAATATGTGTGCGGCGCGCATGTGGGTATAAAGGTCTGATGTTCTATGTATTTATGGTGAAAGAAAACAGTCAAAAAATTACTTTTAGGTGCTCGACTCTATTAGGATATTCGAATGGATAGTCATGCTATTCGATCTGAAAAATGCTGGGGCCACCTATCAGCGGGCTATGAATGCCATCTTCTATGATATGATAGGAAAATATTTGAAAGTGTACATAGATGATATAATAATTAAATCTAAGAAGGCACATGATCATATTGAACATTTGAGGATGAGTTTCCTCCAAATGAGGGAAGTAAGCTTTAAATTAAATCCACTTAAGTGTGCTTTTAGTGTAACTGCAAGCAATTTCCTTAGATTCCTAGTCCACAAAAAGGGGATTGAAGTAGATCGGAACAAAGCATGGGCTATTCTGGAAGCAAAGGCCCTAAGGAATAAGATAGAGTTTTAAAGGTTCTTAGGTCAAGTCAATTATCTCAGGCGTTTTATCTCGAATCTAGCAGGGAAGATAAAAGAGTTTTCTGAGCTCCTGAAACTTAAAAATGCTGAAGAATTCACCTGGATCGGACATCATTAGGTGGCCTTTGACAATTTCAGGTTTGTAGTTTTCCAGTCTCTCTTATATGTTGTGCAACCATAGCTTTTGAATGGCTGCAGCTACTATGGCTTTTCTTTTGTCTGACTCAGTCTTTTACCAGTTCTATGAGGGGCTCGTGCCTCTGTGATGCTAAAGGCACTATAGCGTTCGTTATTGTTTTACACGAAAGGACTATGTTTGGATCCTCTTGTGCCCTTTGAAATGTGAAGGGGCCTATATCAGCATCGTAATACCTCGTATCTACAAAGTGACGCTCAGGATTGGCAAGATGATTTTAAAATTTATCTACAAGATCCCAACCAAAGATATCCTTACAGAATGAGGATGCACGCTCAACACTTCATTATAATTGGAGATGAATTATATAAAAAAGGCCCCAATGAGTTATTATTTAGGTGTTTGGCCTTCACTGAATATATAAAAGTCTTAAGACAAGTACACTAGAGAGTATATAGGGCCCATTAGCCCGAAAAAAATGCAGTGGCTGGTGTGAATGCATGGATATTATTGGCCATCAATGACTAAAGATTGCATTGAATATGTTAGAAGATGCAAGAAACACAACTACACGAGCTAGACCCTGCACCTCTAAAGTTTGAAGACATAGCCCCAAGGTTCAGGATCCACTAGAAGAAGTAAACCTCAAATCTCTAGAAGAGCCGAGGATCACTTTCATTGGCTCACTATTAGATAAAGAACAACTCGTGTGAAAACTTGTGTTATCACCTGATTTTAAAGACCGAATGCTTGGTAAGTTTTCACCTACTTGGGAAGGACCATTCAAGGTAAGCGAAGTTCTTAAAGGAAATGCTTATGTCTTATTTAGCATTAATAAGACTCTGCACGGACAAGCTATAAACAAAAAATATTTAAAGAAATATTGGCCATCATTATAATATAGTCCGAAGAACGAAGGAATAAAGGACCCGAGGCCTAGAATGGCTTTAGGACATACAATAATAAAAAAAGAATCTTTGCTTTTTATTTCATAAGAATGATACAAGGGACATATAGTATAAATTAAAGAATAAAGAATAAAAATACATATGTCTACTATTTACAATAGGTCTAGAGGGTCTCTTACTTCGCTAAAGCTTAGTCCAACTCATCAGATAAAGTCTAATGTCGACTGAGGGTCCTCTCAAATTCAAGCATTAAATGAAGCTTTTCATCCTAGACAGCCCGTGCATCGTCTAGGGCTTTATTTGTGACCTCCAGTTTGGACTCAATTGGACCCTCTTCAGCTTCAGCCCGTGCCAGCTCTGCCTTTTAGGAATCTCTCCGACCTTCCTTATTAGGGTTGAGCATGTGTAGCTGCTTGCATTTTTTAGTTTTACCATCGCCACATCAAAGTCACCAAAATAAGTTCTTGCCGTAGCCTGTCAGCGATGATCTTCTTTTTTGAGCAGCTCCTTATATCCCTATACTTTAGCCGTGAGCTCTTAGAAATCTCAAAATTTCATCCCTTGAAATTTATTTCGGAGCTCTATATCCAGTCTTACTTGTGCTTACTTAATGAATTCAATTTCTAAAAGCAACAAATGGCACTTGCTCCTTAGTCGTTTGAACCTTACCAAGCATTAGTCCGTTGTCTCTCCAACCTATTGGGTAAGCTTGTAGAGTTCTGCTATGCTAACCTCTGACTTTGCCTTGTAAAACTGAACATGGAGATTGCATTGAATATGCTAGAAGATGCAAGAAATGCTAGATTCATGAGCCAACACAACAAGTGCTAGCATCAGACACGCATTCGATTGTTAAACCATAGCTTTTTAGAGGATGGGTTATGGATGTAATAGGAAAAATCTATCTAGCTCATTCAAGGCCCACTCATTCATTTTAGTAACCATAGATTATTTCACAAAATGGGTAGAGGCCATCTCTATAAAGAAAGTGAAACAGGACGACGTTATTAATTTCATATGTGAACAAATTGTGTTTCAATTTAGGATCCCTCAAACGATTACAACGGACCAAGGAACGATGTTTACTGAAAGTGACTTCAAAGCCTTTTCCGAGGAAAGTCAGATTAAAATGTTGACATCCTCGCCATATTACCCTCAAGCAAATAGGCAGATTGAAGCTTTTAATAAAATAATTCTTGGGATTCTAAAGAAGACAATCAAGGGGAACCCTAGAGAATGGCACGTATGATTTCTTGAGACATTATGGGCATATCGAACGTCAAAAAGAGAAGCCACAGGCACAAGCCCGTATGTGTTGACATATGGACACGAAGCCATATTGTCTATGGAAATAACAGTCCCTTCTTTATGTGTTGCAAACACTATGCTTATTGGGTTTTAAAATTGCTATGAGCCTACTTTAATTATACTGATTGGCATGGATGCCTCTTTCAGCACATCACTTATATACCCCCTCCGTTTCTATATATAGGAGAAAAAAATTATATCACACAATTTAAAAAAGTTAGTTAACCATAATAATTATGTTTGAAAATAAATAAATTGAACTAAAATGTCTTATGTTAATCAACATAAGCATGAATTTATTATTTCTCATTAATGTAAATTATAAGGGGCGATTTAAAAAATATGTAATAAATGTTTATTAAAATATATGATTTTATTTATATAAAAAAGAATTAAAAAATGATAATTTTTTTATAAATAAAAATAAAATAGTATTAATATTTACATGCATTATCATTTGCTGTCCTTGATCATTAGGCTATATAAAGCCTTCCGATCCATGGCTTTGAAAGAACTATTGGCATATAAAAAGAGGTTAATTAATTGAAAAATCAAATAAATTTAGTTAAAACATGAGGACATGGGAATGTGCAATCATGTGGGACCCTTTGGGTCCCACCAGTGTGCATGCATGACACGTGCACTAATTAACGCTCTGGCCATTTAAAGGGGTACAAGTGGTGCAGGGGGTGACAAAGCAGCTTTTATCCCTTTGCCCGAAACCCTAAGTGGGCCACCTTACGGTACACCCTCCCTCATTTAATTCATTACCCTCTTCTCACTCTGCCTCACGGTCACACACGATTCTTTTCCCCTCACCAGTCTTCTTATTAGACACCACCTTACTCTTAAATTATAAAATATTTTATTTTAAAATATAAAATATTTTAAATAGATTAAAGTTTTATTAAATATATTAATTTTAATGTTATCTTTTTTTTATAATTAATATCTATTTATTTTTTTAATATATTAAATGATAAATATTTTTAAAAGTTTATATTTTTATTTTAAAAAAATAAAATTATTAAATATATTTAATAAAATTTATTAATATATAAAATTTTATTTAAAAATATTTTATAATTTATGATCGAGGAAGTATATAATAAAACTAAGCTCTTCTTCTGTGTCAGCCAGGGCTTATAAAGCTTTAAAGCACCTCAGGCCCCTCTCGTCGTCTTCTTTTTTAAATACTACCAAAAGTACTCCTCATATTTTGTTTTCCAATGCCATGTTTGTACGCTCTGATCAGAGATCTTCATCATTGTGAGAAGTAACAAGAAGAAGAAGAACAAGAGGTAGATCAGGCCAGGCCAATACCATCATATCGATCAACAATAATTATCAGAAGATGGGGCATCACTCTTGCTGCAACAAGCAGAAGGTGAAAAGAGGATTATGGTCACCTGAAGAAGATGAAAAGCTTATCAACTACATCACCACTTATGGCCATGGTTGCTGGAGCTCTGTCCCTAAACTTGCTGGTACATATCTCTCTCTCTCATTTCTTCTTCTTCTTCTTCATTATATGTACGCGGTCTTCAATCTCTCTGTAATTACTGTTTCACACATCCCTTCTCCTCCTGCATTCTTCTCATCTCATCATCTTCATCAGAGTATAGATCCTCTACTGTTGCTGAAATCATGAGGGAACTTATTCTTATAATTAATTAAGTGCAATTATTTGTTCATCTTTTTGGTTCTGACACATTTTCATGGGCGAATATAAAGGCTTGCAGAGGTGTGGAAAAAGTTGCAGACTTAGATGGATCAATTACCTAAGACCTGATTTGAAACGAGGAAGCTTCTCTTCTCAAGAGGCTGCCCTCATTATAGAGCTTCATAGCATTCTAGGCAACAGGTCTGCTTCTTCCTGCTGTTTATTTTTTTTTCCCTTTTTAATTTCTCATATTGTTATGTTCATTCCTTCATCTATCATGTATAATATTATAATAATTATAAAAAGGTTACTTTCTTTCTATATAGCTTTTTTCCTTTTGATGACAAGTTGATGATGGTCATGTTGTTTTTGACAGGTGGGCTCAGATTGCCAAGCACCTACCTGGAAGAACTGACAATGAGGTCAAGAACTTCTGGAACTCAAGCATAAAGAAGAAGCTGCTTTCTCATGATTTACTTCCTCCTTTCTCCACATTTTCTGATCATCTTCTTCTTCATCACCATCATCATCATTATAATGCTCCTCTGGAAACATCCTTCACTTCTTCAAACCCTAATCTCCTACTTAGCTACCCTCATCTTCATCTTCAACCTGATCAGCATCATCACCATCATCAGCTATACCTTCCCAGTACTGCATCATCACCAATTCCACAAGGTCTCAATGGTCTCGACCATAAAGCTGATGAAATTAAAGTAGACATTGCCGATTATAACCCCAACAACAATCTCCTTCATGTCCAGAACCCTATCTCAGAAAGCACACCACCCTATATCATTATTCCATCTTCATGTGAAGATAACGGTACCAATACTGCTAATGATGATGCGTGGTCAATATTGGGTACCCTGAGTAACAATCCAAATCAAGAGAACAATCAAATTGCTAAAACTGATCATCATCATCATCAACAACAACAACTTGTTGCTGAGAAATTCATGAACCCAGGTTCGATGTTAATGCTGCAGCACCATGATCCTGACAACTTGGTGGAATCCATTATTGTGCCCAAAATCTGTGATAGCTTTGAGGATTATTTGTTGATGAGCAGTAGTACAGTCCCAGCATCATCATCATCTTCTTCTTATTCACAAGAATTATTATTACATCAGGACCCTCTTGAGAGAATCCAGTGTTACCCATCATCTGGTTTTTGTCCACAAGATCATGATCAAACTTTCTCAGTTGCCAATCAAATGGAGTACATTGATGCAATCCTATCATCGTTGCCCTCGTCCACCACAAACCCTATTGTTCCAACTAGTTTGGAGCTGCCTTGAGGATTGACATATGCATGAGAATAGTAGCTTTTTATTTTGTCTATTTAAAATACATATAGCTGAATAATATGGGAAATCCGTTGTTTCACTTTAATTTCATTTGTGTGCGTATGTGTGTTTGTTGTTATATATTATTATATATGAACTGCTAATTGCCATGCATTTAGCAATGTCTTGAAGTTTTGCGTATAATTAAGAGGGTGAAGTTAGAAGTGTTTCTCTAATGGAAAACCTAGTTGTTCCTGGTTCAGGAACCTCCATTATCGACGACATGTCTAGGCTGTTTCACATGTCTGTCAGCTCAGTGAATTGATTTGAGTTTTTCTCTTGCTACAGTCCAATGCATTTAGCAATATATGTGCCTTGATGTGTTGGTACTTGAAGTTGAACAATGGCTGGCTCCAAAGTTCTCTCCCTCCCTCCCTCTCTCGCTGTGACATTAATAGTTGATGACGTTGAAGGAATGAAGACAAAAGCCGTATAAACGAAGACACCATGGTCAACTCTTGCTAGCTAGCTAGAGGCCAAAGTGTCCTACAATGCGACGTACAAGGTGCTAGCTAAGGTGTTCTGGCGGCTATATCATGTCGCTTTTAATTTATATACTCGATTGATTTTCATGGAACCATAATTACTCCCCAAATTAATGAATGAATTTGATTTTAGATTTTTTTTTTGCGTACTTTTTTCCTACCATAATTAATTATAAGATAAAGTTTTAAAATTACATTTAATTAGTTTTAAATATATCGTAAAGATGTACTCAATCCACTACTACAAAATATAAACATTTTTAATTAAATTTTATTCTTAACAAAGTATTTATTTATCTTTAAATTAGTGTCATCTTTTTATATTTATCTTTATTTAATAGGATGTCAAATATTTTTTTTATAAGTTTAATGATATTAACTGTCATTCTTTAAAAATGAAGTTAATTAACTTTACCCAATATTTTTATTTCTAATTCTAAGGCTTTGAAGTGGCTTAGGTGTATTTAACTAGTTAAAGTATTAATTCTTATATGGAATATTCTTATTTATTATGTTCCGCTTAATTATTTTTAGTAATATGAATAGTGAAAAGGCACAAAAGTAATTAATATTTCATTAAAATTCTAAATTGATAAGTCGTAAATATTTTGTAAAATCACCAAAAAAAAATTTGATACTTATCATCCTGAAACTTCAGGCCTGGAAAACGGTAGTCCTTTTTTTGATCAAACTGGAAAACATTAGTTCAAGTGAAAGTTTTTGCCAAAGTTAATCCTCTGGCGTTAGAGTTATCAATGGACATATATTAATAAAGTCACAAAATTATGCAATGATGGTACCAAAATGCTTGTTTTTTATGAACTGGACGTAAAAGAGTTTGAATGTAGATTTTTTTAAAAAAAAATTATTAAGTTCACCTGCACGGTAATTTCACTTCGTGAGCTTTTAACTTTTACCTTTAAATAGTTAAATTTACCTTTGCACCGTCTTGCATTTGGTAAGGATAAGTCCTTTTTGGAGAATGTTGCTTCTAAATTGGTTCAACTTTATTATACATTCAATACAATAAAGAGAATCCAGAGTTGGGGGTTAGAAGTTGGAAAATTTTCATTCAAACACTATCTTTTTAACTTTTACAATAAAGCCACTTGTAAAAAGAAAAATCAAATTAAAGAAAAACTAGAAAGACTTGAATGTTGTCATGATGAACATATTCCACTTTTTTTGGGGGTGTTATGACTAATTAAGGTTTAAGTTTTTTTTTATATATATCACATTATTTTTCAATTTTGACGAAATTTACATGTGCAAATTTCAACGGTGGAATTATTATTATAATTATTACATAGACTTATTAGAATCTTATAGTTGTTTAAATTATTATTATTAAAGATATATAATATGTACAGCTGAAATCCAAGCCATTTAAAGTTATATGAAGTATTATCATTATTACTATTAGGTTTTTTTGTTTTTTTCAATCATAAGGACATTTTGTTTCACTCATGATGAACTCCAAACTAAGCTTCTTTTGAGTAGTTTGAATAATTTCATTATTAACTGAGCAAAATTCTGAACTTGCTGGGGTTAGGATAATACTAATCGAATATGAATAAACTCCAATTGCCTATATGGAATAACTCCAGGACAGATATATTATAACATTTTATAATAATAATGACATTTAAATTCAACAGAAATACAGATCATGCATTTGAATTACGATACGATAAAAACTAATTTATGTAATACCTAATCCTATGGAAGAATTATCTCAATTGTTGTATGATTAAAGAGCATAATTATAATATATATGACTATAAAACATATTCTCTCTAGTTCATGCGCGGTACCATCGACCATCGGGTCAAAATATTATGTTGTTCAAAAAGCAGAGATTCTTAGAATTTAAATAACATTCTTTATCGATAGCAATTATTGTCATTGAAACAAAAGGCAGAATAGAAAAGGATGGAAATGATTTCATTTTCTAAAAAATAAAATGATTTTAATCACGTTATTTTCTTAATTAACACATACAGTAACATAACATGCAAAATAATAATGGATAAAAAAAAATTCTGTGACAGCAATGGGGGGACAGCTATCAATTAATTAATTTTTACTAAAGATGAATCATTCCCTGATGTTCTTATTATAAGATATTTTGTTTAAGGTATTAATTTTTTTCACTGAATATCCCTAGCTAATTACTCTTCTAGTTGTATTTATAGAACAAAGAGAGAAAATTAATTTTAATTATATTTATAAAGCACTTCATTATTTTGTATGTTCATCTTTACTTTTCTGTCTTAATTAAATGCTAGGAAAAGTTGTTAAAAACTAGGTAGATGTAAAAACTTATTAAATTTTAAAATAACATTAATGAGATTTAATTTTAACTAGATTCCTTGAGATGCATAAAATTGTTAATAGATGTTTATTTATTTGATAATCCACCAGAAGAAAAAATAATTTCAAGAATAAAAAGTAAATATCAAATTTTGAAAAATAGACATTATCAACCGATGGTTTTCTCATAGTCATCAAAGGAGGCCAAAAGTTTGACCAAATTTTTCTTAAATAAAAGTTGAATAAAAGGGTTTTTTCTTACAAATTAATAGTCTGTGACTACATTTTCTTACATGATGTAGTTATTAAAAATATTATAATGAATAATTAAAAATTACTTCATTCTCAATCAAAATATTTAGGAGAAAAAAATGAACAAAAGGAGTAGACGCGCGGATAATTAACTTTCAATCAGCGGGGAGATGAATAAAGAAGAGATAAAAGTAACAAGTAAATCATAATATGTGAATGAAGTCTTCCAATAAAGGGCATTAGTGTCCCGGTCTTCTCAATAATGACAGGGCCCACACTTACGGAAGTGGGGAGTTCTTGCTTCTTTCCTGTGTCTCCATGGAATCTCATTTTGCAGCTAATCAAATCACTCACTCACCCTCTCTCTCTCTCTCTGCTTTCATCACTCAGAATCTTAAATCAATGTCTTTTGGGGGTCATGTTGGGGAATCCTCACTGTTTACTCCAGTCTTTTCTTCATTTTAAATCAAGCTTACACGCAAAAACATGACAAAAGAATAGAACGTGGAAACTGTATCTTCACACTAACCTACCTTTTTCCCACATTCATCTCATAAATTTCCTTTTTCAATGCCCCCTTTACACCTTTCAGCATAGACATATGACTTCTTACTATTAGACTCATGTTCCACCTTTACTACTATATACTAATTTGTCTGCTACATTACCCCCTTCACATTCCCTTCAAGATGTGGTTATCTTGCTTTCTTTTGTCATCTTCAAACATACATTCTGGCTTCTTGCTATTTTTGAGATCTTTCATGTATTTTTAATTTCATAAGATACAGCAGTTACATGTTATTCTGATGAGTCTTCAGAGTATAAATTCAACACCCTCCAAACCAGACCCTTTGTACCAATAGGCATGAAAGATGAGTTTCAATTTGAACTTAGTCAAAGCCAATCCTAGCTATTAAGAACCAAGTGGAGATATTAGATTGATTCAAGAATCTTTTGGCATGCTCATTGGGCAATCGACAGATTCTCAAGTATACAATACATTACAGTTTACTTATGCCAGAGACTCAAAAAAGTGCACCAGAGCTAATTCAGCTTGCCCTGCCTTGCTGGGTCTTTAACATGGAATGCAAGAAAATTCAAAGTAAATCTATAGATCCACTACATGGGGGAAACATCAGAATGACTATGCTGTAATCCTTGATCTGCCCTTGGCAATTCTTCTAGCAATGACTCTTCGGCCACCCTTGGTTGCCTTGCTGCTCATGAAGAAAAATAAGACGGTGTCACTTAACATTCGCACAGTACTGTATTTGAAGCTCTGCTGATGTTTCTACATCAGCCACACAAATTTAACAGATTCTATTTTCTTCTACAACTTAATTATAGATAGAATGCCACAAAAATTCAAAGAAAATGCCACAAAAATTCAATGAAGTAAGTAGTCCTCCCTAACAGCAGTCAGCATGCACTCATTTTACGGGTCATGGTTAATAGTACAGGCCCATTCGGCCTATCACTCTTTAGTTAACATAAAGCTTCTAGGATATGGTTGATGACACCCTCATTATCTACTTATGAGAGTTATGTCTATGAAAAATTCAAAGCAAGCACTGTCTAGATATCGATATCCAGTTCAGGCATATGTTTTCTTTCTTCATCTATAATGTTCTGCAATTCGCTTGACCTTTCCCAAATCACCTACCCATCCATGTTAGTCTCTGTCTATAGATCTGACAAGTTAAAGGTAAGACAAAATTATAAAAGTTTCAAACTATAGCAACCATACGGTTCCTTCTACTTCCCGTGATCCGTTAGACATAATATTTTGAAGCGACGCTGCAGTGTCTTCCAGATCACTAGAGTTTAATCAGAATGTTAGTTTGTTATTCTCGTTCTCTGATGATATAGGAAGAACGTAGGGAAAAAACTTGAAAGGTTTACCGAGCAAAAAATCCATGATTTCTCTTTCGCCGGATAAGGCTAGGTTGGAATGTCCTTTTTGGAAATAAGAGCATTGGCTCTTCTGATGAACCATCCCCTGCAGAACAATAGAAAAAAAAAGGAAAAATAAGAATTTAAACAAAGTCACCTTCTTGATATTATATCTCCACATTTCATGACGTGTTGGCTAGTAGGGGAAACTTTGTTTGAGTGCGTCATAATTACCGAACATGCAAGCAGTATTTTGCCTCAAAATGCATAATACAAAAACAAAAAGCCCGCCCTCAAACAACAGATGTTGATGCTGCCATTATTTCGACAACTTGAAATATCCTGATTCCTTGCTAAATAGTAATATCTTGCAAGCGTATATGAAGTGAACTAAGAACTTGATAAACAATCAAAGTGAGCCTCTTTTCTTCCTCAACGTTGATGTCATGACTACATAAAGATGTGAATTATCCGACTAAAATAAAAGGAGTGAATCATCCAATTGATTTGGCCCAAAAAAGAATCATCCAATTGATTAATAAAGCAAGAAGGTTACAATGAAATTGTTCGTCTTCTTTTTCCAGAAATGTCAAACAAATTCTTAGACACACATTAGGCACATTAAGACCACAGTCCAATCAAATCTATAACCAAGCCATGAAACCTAAATATGAAGTTTTAAATTTGAAAAGCAGTCGACGTTAAATGCACCATCAGGTAATAAGAACCGAAGCGAAGGCAGGCCGCAAGGATACAGGACACCGCCAGAGGAGAACTCGCTCAGGTATTTGAGGTCGCTTTTGGGCAACTCGAGTGAACAAGGGAGCTTGGAGACGCATGGGAATAGCTTAGGAGTGATATCGACGCCACGAGAAACTATTTTGTCAGTCGAGTACGGCGCTTGGTGAAGAAATGAGTTTGAAACCCGATTCAACATTGAAGTGCCAATTCTGAGAAAGGTTTTCGACGCCATTTTTTTGTGTGAAAATCCTCGAACCTTCCTAAACCCTACTGAGGGACGAAGGAGCGGCAGGAAGAATTTGGATCAGAGCAAAGCAATGCGGCAATGTTCGAGTTGGATGGTCCGACCCGGAAGAACCACCTCCGATTTGCCCCGTGATTTTTCGCTGACTTTCCCAATTGGGAATAATTTTGTCAATTTTTTTTTTGTTGCATTTTACTGTATCTATCATCCTAAAAAATAAAAATAAAAAGTATCAAAATGAAATAAAGAATTTTAGGCATAATCAAATTACTTTTCATCTTTTCAACAGAAAATTATGTCATTTTAAATAAGATTACAAAGCGATTTGAGTTAATTCACTCATCAGGCTATAAAAAATTTCATTAAATTCATAATTAGAGATACATTAAATTGATTTAGTTATATTATCAAACTCAAATTTAAATCTTTCAAAAATTTAATTTCCAATTATTTATCCACTCTTGTCGATCATTATCAGCTCCAATAACATGGGAGGAAGGTTATAAAAAATAGTTGTGCCAAAAAATAAAAAAGAAGTCATCTGACAAATCTGAATGGGCTCGTCAATTTGATTTTCGATTTTCATGGTAAAAATGTGTTTATTTGCCATGTTGAAAACCACAATAACTGGTGTAATTACTTACTTCCACTAAAACAATGAAATTAATAATCTTTAACATAAAACCATACACTGAATAATTTAATAAAAAACGCAAAGAACCAAACTTTGACTACATATTACAACAGCTCCAAAGTTTTACTACAAATTGAAGCTACAAACAGAGTGGCATTCTTCAAACATGCCTATGGCTATGATATTACAAGAAGCATTAGCTTCACGTCAAGTGAGACCAAAAGAAGAACTGAAACAATGGAAGAGAGGAAACAAAAGGAAATAAAACACCAAAATAAATCATATCAAATATCAATACTGGAATCAAACACTATTGAGTTGGCGTGAGTGACCATCCCTTTCCACTCCACTCCATCCTTGCCGTTAAATGTAGAAAAAAGAGAGAGAATATTCAAATGACTCTCAAATGTACACAATCACGCTGTAATTCTAGATCATTGTTCCGTGTGAAACACGGCAGATATCCAATCAGAAGCTGCCATTTGGATGTCAGTCTCGATATGAGGAGAAAGAGGAAGGGGAGTCACAGCGACCTGTTCCTCCAAATCACAGATTTAATAATCAGGAGAGAACATTAAATAAAATTAGTCCATTGAAAAATCTAATCATGAAACTGACACAGGAACATGTATGAACATGTGAAGGCAAATTTTTTTATGGAACCAATTTCTGACATGTTTACTCATGCTTCTTTGTGATCCATTTGAAGGAAATATAACTTTTGGTTTTTGAATTTTTCCTCAATTATTCAGTCCCTTAAAAACAAAATCTCTATAATTTCTTAATTCAACAAACTATAACGAAGGACTTTGTTCTGAATCAAAGTTAAAGAACTGAACCGATAATTGAGAGTAGTTTAGGAACTAAATTATATTTTCCCTTCTATCTTTTATGAATTTATTTCATCAACAATCACTATTGCTGAGTCATGGACATACAATGCATGAGATCCACACAAGTTTTTCTAAAATGAACTAGGTGGGCACTTGAGATAATCTAACCAATGACGACTTGTTATCCAACTTACATATCCACTTTCTAGTGCTCGATAATCAAGGTCCTCTTCTATATCTTCATGCTTCTTATCCAAAAACTGCAGAAAAAAGTAGAGTATGGCTAAGTTTACTTCTACAAAATGCGTCAAAACATTTCATTGCCATACAAGTATACTTTAAGGAAAGATATATTAAGATCTGCAATTAAACAAGCAGTGGTGCGAAGATGGCAACCTGAATCATGTGACTAAGGAAACAAAAACATTTCAAGGTTGGCAACGTTGGCCAAAACATGAAAACAAACACATTTATACAATAAACTCTTATCTACAGCTACAAATTACTATCTTCCATGCTCAGAATATAAAAATATGTCTGATTTCATTATTAATAGGATTCTCACAAGATGACGTTCTTTCCTCTTATTTACCTCCAGTCTGAAGTACTTCTTTACCCTGTTGAAATCAGATTTTCCTGCAGCTCCAATAGATTCAACAATCTCCAAATTCTTTTTCTGTGTAGTCAGTCGACGCGCTGCACCCTGAAACATACCAAGATGAGGAAGGTTAGACATTAGCACAATAGAATCAACATATGTACTAGAATCCCTTCAGATTATACCAGACGGGTACACATAACACAATGTTAAACATTTTGGACACTCACAGCAGCAGAGGCATCTCGGCCAAGCTGTGCAAACTTAAGGCCAAGGCCTTGTTGGTTGTTCAAGAAATGACCAACAGGATATCGACTAGTAGAAACAGCTTGCCAGTTTGCAGTGGATCTTCGAGTACTTTGCTTGGTCAACTTGAAACCCTGCCAATAAGATAACACAATATCCAATTAAAAAAAAAATTGCAAAGACAGGAACATAATAAATGAAATGCTTATTTAATGCCAAATTCATATTAGAATCACATAACATAATAAAGGAAACATGATCTCTTCTTCATTGAAGTTTTATTAATAAGTTCAAACATACCAAGGGATTGAACACTGAGGTAAAATCACATATATCCTAACCAATGAAGCACAAGCATGACTACTATTGCACTGAATAAGCTAACCCCTCTTTCAACATCTAATGCATAAACGTAGAACAAATAATCATGTTGTGACTTGTTTAAATTGACCATATAGTAACAGCCCATCAAAACAAAATTGTGCAAGGGAAGCAAAAGTAAAAGATTTAAGTTAGGACATGCACTAAATGACCTAAGATAAGTTTATTATTAAATACAAAATTTTGTGCACAAGCAATGCATTATGCAGCTAATAACATGCACAAACATCATATACTGTAGACACAGAAAATACAAGATTCTACTTAGACAGTATGGAACTCAAACAAGTGCACTGTTAATTATAGCACAGAAAGGAAGGTGACTCTACAAATATTAAACAAAAACAAGAATCAGTGCCAGGGAATTACACAGCATTAATTGTTTTTCTTGCATCTAGGACTTAAAAAAAATATGGGTACATGTCAACAACTCTTACCAGCATTAAAGTTGAATGAAATTCAGAACCTCAAAAAGTGCAAAAGTGTAAACCTTGAGACATTACCATAACTTTAGCATCTTTAACTCAGATTGGAAACCGTCTTTAATATTCAGAACGTAAACTAACATCACAACACACTCTCCAAAGTGTATCATCAATAACCAATCACTCATTCAACAAAGGGGGTGAAATAGAATTTAATTATTATTTGAAAACTTCTAAGTTCTCTTTAGAGAGAGGAGGTTTCCAACTCATTATCAACATCCAAAATAGAAAGCCAAAAATAAAAGTAATCAAACTTGAGGGTGTAATAAAAAACCTCAGAATCACTTATCAGAAATTAATGAAAACAAAAACCCCTTGAACTAATTTCTCACACTTTTTCAATGTACAGTACATAACAAGCCAACAGGGTAATTACACCCTGGCAGGGGGTACTACAAGCACAAATGAAACTATACAGAAAATGGAAGTTGATTGTAGAACAAATTTTTTGTTCAGACAATATTTTCTAAAAGTATTTCTGTAATGCAGCAAAATATTTGAATAAATACACAATCAACATTCTAAACCTTGTTTCTCAACGGAGACGTGGGAACTTCTATATTCAGAAAGCAACTTTTGAGAAAAGTTCCCTTCTCAATATCCCTGATAGCTGAATTTATCAAAGGTAAACAGATTGCTGCTGCATCCTTGAAATCTGTCTCTTGACTTTGCTCCTCCTTCCTACACGTGACAGCAATTCATAAACCTCCAGTAGAAAATTGCAGGTCAAGCTAGTTACAAACCAAATAATCAAAATACCAGTTCAATGATATTGACAATGATGGCACACCACTTAATGATGCCTCTCTAGCTCCAGAAACAACACCTGAGTAAAACCTGGAATGTTCTTAAGCATGAGATAAATGTTGGTCTTGGACATTAGTGATATAAGTGCTGGAAGATACCACAAAACAGAATGGAAAAAAGGGGGGAGGTTATGCTCTGACTTGTATTTAAAAGTTCCTCTATATTCATAGGTAAATAACTTACATGTGATGACCACAGCTGGCTCCCCGGTTGATTCCACTAATAACCTAAAATGCATACCATATTTTTTATCATATGTAAATCTTTATTATGTTGATTATGGCAAAGCAAAGGCATAATGTTATCGTATAAAAGCTGACCAGTATAGGCTTTGACCATGAAAACAAGGCCCCGGATAATGCTAGTGAAACACAATCCACAGGAGTTCCTGAATAAAGTATAAATTAAAAAAGAATAAGATAGCAGAGAAACTCTGATGTATTAAAAGCCACAACTACAAAATGCCAAACTCGCAAAGAGATTATGAAATTCTAAAAGTACATTCAGCTACGATCACACAAAAATCACTTTCAAAATATGATGATGATGATGATGATGATTTTTTTTCCTCTTAACAACTAGGGTAAGACCAGAAAATCCACATCAATGCACCCATGAACATGATACAAGTTGAATCTCATTAGCACATAGAAAATGGGACAAATAGCACATGATCAAGCTAAGCTAAAATTCGTCAAAAGGCACGGTTTCCCAACAAATTTAATCCCTATCAAATTAGACCTGATCACAACATCCTCAAGTCTTTTTGAGAACTAGATGTGGGGAGGACAAGAAACAGGAGCTAAAGAAAATGTCATACCTGAAACCTCAAAGGCCGTGGCACCATCAATTTCAGCAGACCTTGCTTCCACCGTTTCTCTGAGAGTTACAGAGTGGCCCGAAACTGTTTTGTCCCTAAAGCAACCATTTTGTGAACTAACAAATTACAAAGACACTCCAGATTCAAGAACAACAGAAAGAGAGAGGTGGAGAAGACAGAAAGCATAATGCAAATGCAGAGTCAACAAGAAACCGGGAAGGTAAATGTAGGAGGAAAAGAGGCATACTAGAAAACATAGTACAGTCCAACAAAAATCAGAGCACAATGAATAAATCAAGATTAAAAAAGACCCACGATTGAGGAACGCAGACATGAACATTGTAAAGGCCTTCACGAACAAGAGCTTCAACTAAGTAGGTAAGGCCAGGGGACTCAATCCCATCACTATTGGTGACCAAGACAATGGGCTTCGAAGTATCATTGAGTTCCGTGGAATCAGGAACCGAAGATGAAGGTTCCAGAGTTTCGGCAACGTCCTTGGATTTGTCGCCCTCATCAGCGCCTTTCCTGCTGAGAAGGACTTCTTGAAGATTGGAAACGAGGCCCGGAGGCATCAAGTTGTTCTTGACAGAAGTAGAAGTCATGGGCAAAGATTCCTTGAAAAGGAAACTGAATGACAATCGCAAGAAAGAAGAAAGATTCAAAGTGGAAACCCTAAGCTGGGAGCAAGAAAGGCTGGGAAAAATATGGAGGAAGAAACGATAGAGATAGATAGAGCGGTTGTAACGGCGTAACGTGGGAAAGTGCAGAGACAACCCAAAAGGGAAGGGAAAAGCTTCAGAGTTCAGAGTACTCTCACAGAGAGAGGAGGTGGGGGGGGGGGGGGGGATTACTTGTAAAAATGGGATCTTTATTAGAAGGGAAAAGAAGAAACAGTCATGAAAGAGATTAAGGCACAGTTTCATGATTTTTGAATCTTTTAACAATTCAACCTTTTCTGGACAGAGTTTTTTCTTTTTCTGCTGATCTATCCTTGACCGCCAGCTATTGACAATTGAGACATAATTACTTAGATAATGATGGTATTAGAATATTTATCGTGCATGCATAATTGAATTGATGGCATATTCTACAACATTCATTTCTTCTTGATTACTTGCTCCCTCATAGCACAATATAAATTATAATTAATTAATTTATAATTTATAAATAATATTAATTAAAAATTTAAATTTTTTAAAAATATCAACATTTTTCATTTATATCTTCATAAAATACTCTATAAAAAAATCTTGATAATAATAATTAAAATTTTAATGTATGATTTTTTTTTAAAAGAGTAATAGATGAAGTAAGAGTATAGTTAGAGAGATAAATATAAAAGTTATCTAATACTTTATATTTTAGATCAAGTAAAATTTTTAAAAAAATACTTTATATTATAATTTAAAAAGAGTATGATTTTGCAACTCAATTTAATTGATTTAAATCAATGAAAGCTATGCCAACTATAGCTTTGAATTTGAAATGGAGTGTGTCATAAATTTTATAGTTGTCAGAAAATAAATGAGAGTAAAACTGAATCTAGCATATTACCAGAACATAGTAAATGTTTATTCACTTGGCCGGCCACCGCCATCTTAAAAACTTTGGCTGCTGCTCAATTAAATTTAGCTGTATCAATGTTTTTTTTTTTTTCATTTATAAGATTAAAATATTTAACTTCATAGAATTAAGTTCTTTTTTTAAAAAAGGAAAATTCCATTAAAAATGAAATGTAATTGAGGGTTATTAAGTATCCTGGCTCTAAACTATTACTAGAATAACATTCTGAACCCTAAACTCGAGTAAAATATCCTCTCAACTTGTAAATTTTAAACAAATTATCTGTCGTTATTTTTGACTTTATGAGACTCAATCAAAAGTCAATATAACACTAATCCCTTTTTGACATATGGCATGCCAATTGTACTACATAACGGTCAACATTGTAAGAATAAATAATTAAGGTAATTTGCTCTGACTTTATAAGTTAAAGAGAGTTTTTGCTTACCGTAAGAGTCTAGAGTTTAGAATATTATTTGGATAATAGTTTAGGATTGATAATACTTATTAAACCTATAATTAATATAATCAACTTCGCCAACTTAATTACTATTGGTTTTGCAGCCAACTTTTAGTTTGGCGTTGGGAGAGAAAGTGCATGCCTACTAATATTTCTTTTCAACTTGTTAAATTATGGGCTTATAGGATCTTATCAATATTAAGGTGCATCAGTGATGAACAGCGTTATAAACAATATTATGAATGGTGTTATCAATATCAAAATTTACACTCTTTACTTATTGGGAGAATTATGTTAAATTCTCATATAAAAAAATTAATTATTATAAAGTTCATTAATAATTGAATTAAAATTATTAATAATATATTAATCTTAATTTAATTATTAATGAATCTTATAACAATTAATTTTTATATAAAATTTGTAAGTAATTTTCCCTTGCTTATTTGAGCACGCCTTTACCCCACCAAAATATCAATATCGACATTTATACAATAAGCGGATCTCACATTCTCGGTTTTTTTTTTTTTTTTCACAGTTTATTTTTCAAAATCTTGCATTTAGATTTTCTTCTATCATATAATTTGAATTAAATAATAATAAAATGCACCTCTATAAACCTTGATATTCTATGTCATTCATTTTATCAAGTTTCTGTATAACTCAGTACATTGCATATAATAACCGTATGAATCAATTTATAGTTGTTAATAAATCACAAAATACTTAAAAGTTAGTATGATATTAGATTAAAAAGTTAACGATACCGAAGCTATATCTATAATATATTTTTATATAGCAATACCGACTGTCATAAATTACTTTTTTTTAGTTTTAATGGAAATGGACATACATTTCAGCTCTTTTTTTCAAAAAAAGAAAACAAAAAGTTCAAGTTTTGTTTAATTATTTTTGTTTTTAAAAGGTAAACTGTTGTTGAGAGATCATACATACATATACCAGAATGTCAATTGAAAATACGTTACAAACAAGCTTTTGCATATTTGACGACAAAACTACCCTAAAATTATTTGTCAAAATGTGTTTCGACCAATACCAACAGATTTTCCAAACACATCAAATTAACCAATTTGGCCAAAAAAATTAACGAAAATAAGTGTCTTTAATACGCTGCTATACTGCAGTTCAAAGTGGGGATTGATGCGTTAATTTTATCTAACTAGATGTAAATCCCTCATACAAAATATAAAATTTTAAAAATGAGTTACATTATCCATGACTTACAAGTTAAAAATATTACAACTTGTTAAAATTTTTATATTTCAAAATGGATGATGTTCTTTTAGTATGGAAACTTCCCCACTTTCATCAATTGGCCAATAGATTATTCTGTACTTTGTGATCATCAGTTTGGGATAACATGTGAAATTTCTTCTCTGTTGTCACATGAATTTCCATATTACTTCTAAATAATCAAAGAGATAGAGGGAAGAATGAAGGCAGAATTCAAGTGGATTCTATATGCCCTTTCTCTGCTATATCTCTCCTAATTCACAGACACCTAAACGTAATGACCCAAATTCATATATTTCCACCACTTGATCAATTCTCAATCCAAAAGATAGTAAAGTGATAGAAATCACTGTCCCTGTGAAGCAAGAACTACTGAGTCAAGACTATTACATAGAAGACAAGTATATACTCTAAATATAACAGCTAAATAACAACATGAAGAGTACCCAATGCCTGGCCAAAAGGAGAATGTTGTTTTGGCCACTACCTTATTTAATTACCGCTTCCTCCTTTTCGTTTCCTAGCTCTACTTCGCAAAGCTGTCTGACTTGCCTGGTTATCAGGCTCCTGAGTTAAAAGATCATCATTTCAGTAACTCAAAATATGAGAAAAATACGCCCTACCCAAGCCAAACCAATCGAATAGAGACATATAAGTATGTCAGGCGTTTTTTTTTTTTTTTTTTAATAAAACTCGCTTTTGACATGTATGTCTTGTTAAAATTGGCTTGGCCTACTTCATTCTCTTTAGTGAAAAAGAAATATCTGAACTCACCCTGGTCATAAGCATAAGTTTTAAGGAAGCAATGAGCTCAAACAAATACTCATAAGCAGCCTTATGAGGTTCCTGCAGAAAGAAACTTGGTATTAGGACAGGAGGTACTACACAAATATAAGATGACAGACTCAAACAACCAAACCTGTATGTTTTGAGGAAGAGGAAGTCCTTCCGCCAAAGGAGCCCTTGGAATCTGCACAACTTGGGTGCCACCTGAACCATCAGGAAGCTGAACAGTCCAAGAAGGGGCATTATAAATGCCCAATGCCCCAAAGTCAAACTCTGGTGTCACGCCTGCTGGATATGATCTTTGAGAAGCTGAAATACCAGGGGCTGAGGCCTGTGCATTCTTATCCACAAAAGTAAGTTTAGTCAGCATTTCAAGGCTTTTATATGTTCCAGCAACTTAATATAAGTGAGAAAGAGCAAATAGTAGAAGTACTTATCTAAATCTACATGATAACATACCATTTGCTTATCCTGAGAGTCTAGTTTGCTTATACACATGATTGAGTTGTGCCCATAGTATCAGTCCAGTTAGAATGTCTTATAGTTTTATAATTATACTCATCTATATGTAGTTATGTAATGAAAAGCAAAGCTGAGAAGTACTTATCTAAATCTATTTGATAACATACCATTGGCGGAGAGTCTAGTTTGCTAAAGTCCATTTCATCAGCATCGTAATCAATATAAGGATCCACCTGAGAAGCAAGTAGCATAGAAGTCATAAACGTCCAAACAGATGACCAAAAATAGTAGAAATTATTTGACTAATTTATTAGTTCATAATCTGAAGGTAAATGCATATCTTCTACGCAAATTAAGCTTTGCAAGAGACAATAATATACCATAAAGAAGTAATCCCTCATTCATTTTAATAAAAAACTCATTATGTAACAAATTTACTTTTACGTTGCATTTGATCTCTTGTGGAAATAAAAAAAGCCAACTGTGTTGACAAGACGATTTGTACCTTTGGTCTTTCTGCAGATTTAAATGAGTGAAAGCTAGGACATTCAAAATCAGGCGATTTCAATATTGCATATGCTCCTTCGTTGTTATATCTCCTCTTACCAAACTGCAATATTGATAGATTTTGTAAAAATAAAAATACTCCTACAATGCTCTTATATTCATGATTACTTTTAAAATGCTACATTTCATCATTCAAACATAAAATGTGCATCAAATTTTTTGTCTTTGAATTATAAAATGTTATTATTATGCTTGTATCCTTTCCTACACACAGCAAGTGCAGAGTTGCTCCTCGCTAGCAACAAAAAGAAATATGGGGGGACAAAAGAAAGTCATATTCTTGAATATTGGGCAAAAATTCAACTTGTGGATGCAGATGCAAGTGAGTACATGTCATCACCACAGGAATTTCAAATAGAGCATAATCTATCTTGAAAGTTGAAACGGTCTCACATGCTAGGAAGTGACCATGATAGATACCAGGTTATAGGTGTGTGCGTAAATCAAATTATTTTAATATGTAGATGATAAATGCCATACAAGTTTACTGCTCCACTTAATAAAAGAAAATCTAGAAATGATAATGTCATTTTGGATCAATTTTCCAAAATGTCAAAGGCATTTGAAAACAAGAACTACCACAAACTAGATTTTTTGACAGACATGTTATTGCAGAGAGAGGAGTACCTTAATAGCTAATGATTTAAAATGGCTAATTCATATATGCTAATATTAATAATATAGCTATTACTGAGATTGAGTCTTCGGTAATTACAAATTAGGAGGCAAAATTATTTTAAGTCTTCAACCAAAATATTAAGATATCACCAATAGAATTGCCACAGGCGTAAAAAATACTAAACCTTTGCATAGTGATATAGAAATTTACAACTAAAAATATGAACCTGTGGGTAGTCAGGAGCACTGAAAAGTGTATATAGTTTTCCTGATTGTCCATCATGATCCAAGCTGTATCCACACAACATATCCCCAAAATCATCCCGACCAACCCTTGCATCGGGCCCTTCATGTGATCTGATGATCAGCTATGCACAAAATAATGCACCACAGAATATTAGAAGAAAAAGAGTTTTAAAGTTGACAATCATAAACAAAGTGAATCTTTGATAAAAAAAAAATAAAGGATATGGACATTTTAAAGATTTAAAAAATGCTTTTCTAAACAAGGAGGAATGTCAAGTTAGTTAATACTTACAAGCTTTTTAAGGCATGTAATAAGCTTATGCATCCAACATGCAATCTTCCTTGAATAACGATTGGCATTGCCAAATGCCAACGATAATATGTGATAAACATTTCTATACATCTCATGATAAGTTTACTGATTGGCTTTTAGATCTTTAATAATTTCACCCATGGTAGCTGTAGTGAATCAAACAAGAGTGTGGATTGGAATTTATTCACTAGAAGAGTTCATGGTTAAAGAGTAATTCATGAACAACTTGAGGCTAACTCAATTGGTAAGGGTGAAAGGGGTCTGGGGTAATATTTAAGATTCAAACCCTCCTAATAACGAGAGAAAAAAAAAAAAAGTAAGTCATGAAATAGAAATGCTTAAGTTCGCACTGCCAATTTAGAAGACATATTATACAGGTTTGATAGTTAGAAGTCAGAAATTCAAATCCATATGACAAGTGATAACAAAATGAACAAGTGGTCAGTGTTAGATATTGGTCACACAAAAAATTTAAATATTACCTTCAATTTGTTCTGTTTTAAAAAAGTCTCAGTGCAATCAGGACCCCACCATAGACCCAATTTCCGACCTGTATTATCCCTCAGGCCATCCTTTTTAGATGGTTTTGACCAAAGAATGTCACTCAATAATATGTTAGGACCTTCATAAGGGCAATCTACAGTGGATCTTTTAACTTCAGATAACTCAGTTAAAGATCCAAGATCCACTCTTTGTGTCTTCTTTCGCTTTGGCTTTCGCAGAGGAGCAGCTTTTATACTCCGAAAAAGCCCTCCGTGAGTAGTATAAACACAGCCACCTATAACTGAAGCTAATGGAAGTTCCTTGAAACATTGTAGGCATCTATTATATACATCTTCACCTTGGTCACCAAATTTCGTCCGCAACTCCTTCTTGAAACCATATCTTGCAGTGCAATATCTTGATTCATGATTTCCACGGAGTAGATATACTCTGTGAGGCATCAAGACCTGAAAATAAAAATGATAGGCTTTAATCAACAATTAGGTTTGAATGAGTAAAACACATTTTAGCATGTTATTTAGTAGAAGTTAACAGGTTATATAATAAATGCCACAAGGCATTACTACTCTAGTCCTATTTATAAGTCACTTCCAACATATTTTACCAATATCAAGGAAAACTTTAAAACTCATTAACTCTATCTTAAAATTTAAAAAGTTCTCAACTTTGCCCCTATTAAATATACACACTTCAATAGTATATTTTCTCTCTCCAACATTCAATGGAGGGTAAAAATAAAATTTATGATGAAAATTTAATGACGTGACTTATAAATAAGACAAAAAAAAATTCATCTCTCTACCCTATAAATAGGACCAGAGGGAGTATTCTGTTTTGTTTATTTCTCCTGATGGGAATACAGCCATCACCATCACTTCAATTCCATTAAAATTATCAGGGACATCAAAATGTAAGCAAAATCAATGTCATCATGTTACCTTCCAAGCTAGCAAGACCAAAAAAACCTCCATGCCCCATGCTCCTTTATCTACATAATTTCCATTGAAAACATAGAACTGGCTCTCAGAAGGCATTCCAATATGCTTAAAAAGAAACAGTAGATCATAAAACTGCCCATGGATGTCGCCTACTACAATGACCCTTGAATCTTCTTGACAGTTGATCTCCACACAGTTTGGTTCTTCAGATAGTATACTGTGAGCAGTGTCAGTTAATTTATCTACCAAAATCGATGGTATGACATGGCAGACCTCAGATGGCAACATCTTCCGCGAAGCCTGCTCAAGGCTGAACATCATGTCTTGAACCCACTCTAAGGTGATGCAATCATCTGGAGGCCACAGAAGAAATTGCTGAAGGGAAGATGGCAACAGAGACTCCTGTATTTCGTCTATTCCATTTTCAAGTCCTAAAACATGCTCTACCTCCAACATCTCATTTTCATTTATTAGGTTTTGCTCCCCATCTATCAGGACATCACCATTGCTGGTCTTTGCTGACTCAGCCATGGGACTATATCCTATCCCTTCATAACCAACTCCAACCTGTAAAACTAAACAATTTACCTTGAGTGAATTCTAGCCATAGGAAAGAGATTAAAAAATGTTATATGCCTTAAACACTTACTTGTTCTGCAAGTATGTCATGCCTAGTTACTGCAACTCTTGCTTGTTTATCAGCAACCCCATGTGCAATTTCTTTCATCCTCAATACTAAACGCATTCTTTGGTCATCTAATCCTTCAAACGACATCCTGCTTATTACTTCAATAATATCCCTGGATGCAGACACCTGCAAACTGTCCTAAGTCAGTTGAGATACAATATTTGCATATAATCCATTATGCTTTATTCATGAAGGAAACTTTATGAACCATTTTCTCAATACTGTTGCGCAAAGCACTAATCACGTCATTCTTCGTCACCTGTAGAGATCAAACAATTTATGAGAATGGCCCCCCGGGCACGAAAAATTAATGTCAAAATTTCAGCAGCCACTGATCTCTCTTACCTTTCTCTCTCGATCATCAACAACCCCACGGGCTATTTCTCTCATCATCACCAAGGAATGTACTTGCTGGTCATCTAAATTTACCAAAGACATTGAATCTATTCCTTCCAGGATCTTCTGACATCCACTTTTAATTCTCTCTCTCTCCAGGTCCATGACTAGACCAGAACACAAGGACAACGAACTACACAAATCCACAGATCAGAACCAACTGACAACATAATACCCCTGATAAATATTCTCGCTTTAAATTCAGGGACTCAAATAATACATTGGCTCAATTTTGTTGGACTTGGTGAAGTCTCTATATGCTATGAAGGTTTTGCAAAGGATCAAATGCTATAATAACACTCGGGAATTTGAGGAAAAGAATAATGACACGGGTAACTCAACCAGGGGGGAGTTACAACAAATTTGAAGTTAAGGAATTTTTAAAGAAGAAAAATTTCCACGAAAACTAGCCAAGCAAATCAATCTGCGTGAAATGAAGTTTAACAGTTGAGCCAAACTGAACTTTTCCATTCCACATTTCATGTTATAATGCAAACTACAGAAACCCCAACAAGGCCCCGAGTTTTCTGGAGAAAGTTTGAAACAACATGTTCTCAAGTTCATTGTCTTAAGAAGCCATAGCATCATTTCTAAGGGTGGGTGGGTAAGTGTGAGGGAGTTGTGAGATGATTGTACCTTTTATACCCCTTCAAATAAGGTTTGTGAGATCGACGACAGGAAGCAGCTGGAGGAAGTGAAGCAGACGACTCTTACTTGCCCTAATCGTTTTGATGCTTTGGCTTTTGGCGAAGATGAAGTTACAAGTCGTATCCCCCTCCGGCAAAAACGACATTAAGGTGACCGTATGGCTGTTTAAAACGAAAAGTCGAAAAGCTCGAGCAGAAATGATTTTTTTAGCATAATAAAATTGAAAAAAATAAACAAGGGTCAAATTTTCTTTTTAGTAATTAAATTAAAATTTTAAAATATAAATAGATAATTACTTTCGCAATCCAAAAATTAGAAAAATATATCATTGGAATTTCTATTAATTTTTCTTAATTTCCTGTTATAGAATTTTATTTTATTTATCTTATAGAAAAGAAAGAATTGCAAGAGTAAGAGAAAAAAAAATCAAGATATTGAAAAAAATATATTAAATGGACCACAATATTGATTCAAAGTTAGTATCAATGTACATATTAAAAATATAAATAATAATTTATTTTATTCAAAATTCTTTCGTGTGTGATAATTAAACTAATATATATATATATATATATATATAATAACTTGTTATGATGTATAAATTTTGATTTCACACATATTAAAAAGTTACATAATTGAATCAAGTTTTGAGTGCCCTCTAGGAAAGGTGACCACAATTAGTATTTAATCATAATTCAAACAGAATTGCCTTTAATAAAAGAATAATTGTTAAAAAAAAAAGAGTTACATAATTTATTTTATTTTAAAATTTATTAACAACAAAATGTTATAGTTTACAATTTATTATCTCATGCACATTATGTGATGATTAAAAACATAAATACCAAGTAAAATTAGTGTGAGTGATAACAACTCCCATCATTTAAACAATTAGAATTTACTTTTTATGCTCACAATATATATATATATATAACAGTAACTTATTTTATTTTTAGATTTATTATCCTAATGCATACTAAAAATATAAATGACTCCTTATTTTATTTTAAGATATTTCACCAAGTGCACATTAAAATCCAGCTCACAACTTGTTAATGTGATCTCGTATCTAAAATTTTCATCAAATTAATCACCTTTTCTATCAACCATTCACTTCTATAACCAAGCATTTGCCTCTAAGAAAAAACTAATATGCTTAACTTTATATACTTATTTTCAATTAAATTAAAATATATAAATTTTTTTATATATTATTTATTCTATAATAAATTTTTTTACCATAATAAATTACTTGTTTTAATTTGATTGGATAAAAATATATTAACTGTACCTTTTACTATTTTTTGCGAAGAAACAAAACAGCTTTACCTACAACATTGCTTCTAATTTTATCACACCCAAACAGTCAAACTCAATGTTGTAGTCGAGCCTTGGATGACAGGAGTCAAAACACGCAAAATTAAAAATTTAAAACACGATGTTGCAGTTGGACTTAACGGGGAAAATCATAGGTTGATGAGATCTTTCAAGCCTCGAGTTGCTTTCTTCCATGATCCAGTTGGAAGTGGTGGAAATATATATCCACTGGATTTTTGAGCTATGGAGGAGACTCTCTCTTCCTCATCTTTCTTCTCATCAGAGCTTTCAGGATCACCAATGGCTTCACTGGGTTCCAACAATGGAGGAAATGAGCATGACTCATCACATCTTGGAACTCCGAATTCATCCTGACTGGCTTCCAACACCTTAGTATCCTTCATGAAACTATGTTGTGAGGCATACATCAGATAAACCCCACACCCTTTTATCACTATCTTTTCATATTCCTCTCCTTGCTCCACCTCTGACACAGCCGAGAATTCAAAAGAAACCTTGGGTTCATTACTGTCTCTGCTTTCTTCAAATCTTCCATTTATAAAACCCAAGCATTCTACGTAAAATAAACATACATGATCCGAATTAAGTTCTGTACCAGGTAACACAAGGTCCAAAGACTTAACATGAAGCCTCTCACCCTCGTCATTATTGTTTTCTAGGAAGCAGTCAACTGTAATGGAGTTAAGAAAACTGCTCAATGGGAACTGAGAAAGAACCACGCAGAAAATGAAGGCCTCAGGAATATTGGATTGTAGAGGAATAGTTATTGAAGCCTGTGATGTCCTATACTTGAACCAGTTTGGAACTTTGCTTCCAGGGTATATTCCTCCGGTTCGAATATAACCATCAATCTGCTTCTCGTGGTCTTCTGAGGTTACATGTTCAAATGCATAATGATTTATCAGTTTGAGATGAATATTCCATCCAATATCATTCAGTAAACGTTCATCCAAGTTCATGCAATTTGCCAGACGAATTTCCTTCATGCTTGTGTTGAGTGGATCAGTAGGTACTGGTACTGTCTTCAAGGACGAACAGTCTGAGGCCCATAATATTTCAATGGATGGTGGAAGCTCTGGTAGAGATTGAAGTTTCATACAACCAGTTACCTTAAGATAACGTAGAGATTTCAGGCCATCTAAATTGTTAGGAAGATGCTTGAGACTTTCACAGCGCCATAGAGATAAAGTTTCAAGCTTGCTGAGAGATCCTAAGGTTAAGGGCAATTCCTCAATAGCAGTCTCTGATAAATCTAACTCTTTCATGTTCTCTGATGTCAGTGAAAATTTTTTCAGTCTTGAGCAGGAAGCGAGATAGACAGTGCGGAGGGATTTCAAAGGGATATCACTCCCAAGGCAAGTAAGCTTTTCACAGTATGACAGATCCAACATTTCAAGCTTTTGGAGAGATAAAATAGACGGATGAACATGACGCAAGTTCTTACAACTGAATAGTGAGACAGATTCAAGATTATTAGCCTGAGAAAAATCCGGGAGCGCTAGAAGATGCTCAGAGTGCCTGAGGTCAAATTTCTTTAAATTCACCAAAGGCTGTGACAATTAGAAGAGAGACATTCAGTAAGCTAAAGCAACTAATTTTGAGATTCTCAGGTTTCAGTTGGTACCAAAAAGAAAAAAAAAAAAACACAACTGTGCGCGCGCGCGCGCGTGTGTATTCATACGTACCACAACTCCATCCCAGAGTTTTTCCACATTGCTGTAGTTCATAACAAGTTGAACAAGATTTTCTGCAGCAAATGTTGAAGGCAGGAATTTTAAAGGGTAATTCTGCCAAAGAAGAATTCTTAGTCCATGGGCAAAAATTCAAGGCCTTGAGGTAGATGCACACGTGCTTCCAAGGAAGATCTCTGAGTAAATATTTTAAGAAACTTCAGCTTGTGCATCCTAGAAAAGACTTGAGGACTTAAGGACAAATCTCCAATCGTTGACATGTCCAAACTTATGCTTTGAATGGCTTCAGTCCCCTGGCAAGCAAAAAGTATCCCTTTTAAAGCCATATAATGCGCAAGGAAATATTCAAAAAAATAAATGAAATAACTTTGATTCTTACCTTGTTATTTTGCAATACTTCATAACTATCATCAGGGTCCCATAAACGACTACGCTTTCCAGGATCTTTTATTGATTCTTCACGAACAATCTCCCACCCCACTTCTTGTATCAGATCATGCATGGATACAATTGGCCTTTTAGATACTAAATTAGTGACTTCAGTTATAAGAGCTTTGTCTCGAAGCACTTTTAACTCAATAGTCGTTGTAAAACCACAAGCATCTAGAAGAGCTATTATTTCACGATATTGATATCCTTTTAAAAGACATGCGATGTACAGGAAGATCTCTTTCTGTTGACGATCTAGACTACTATAGCTCAATCTCAACAAATCATGGATTTTCTTGAAAGGCTTTTTCTCCAACTTCTTCAACTGGCTTTTCCATTCTTCTTTGCTTTTTCCATAAAGAAAAGAACCCAAAACTTTAAGAGCAAGTGGAAGACCCTTAGCATACTCAACCATCCTCCTTGATAGTTCAGTCCATTCCATGTCTAGAAAGTTTTGTTTAAAGGCATTCATATTGAAAAGTTGGAGTGCTTTTTCATAATCCAATGGCTTAACCTCATAAATTTTGTCGACCCTTTTACCAAGCAGTTCTTTATCTCTAGTTGTGATAATGATTCTACTACCTGATCCAAAACAATCAAATGCTCCAACTAAATTTTCTAGTTGATCTAAATCATTAACATCATCAAGAACAACAAGAACCTTTTTCCGAAGCAGCCTTCTCTTAACATAAGGGGGTATTCCATAGGGTGTGCCAATATATAAATCATTTTCCTTTAGTAGTGCAGAAAGAATTTTATTCTTCACATAAATAATCCCATGTCTCCTTGATTCTTCTCTCACATTTGCCGAGAAACAACATCCGTCGTATTCAGAACAAAATTGGTTATATACTGCTGCTGCAATAGTTGTCTTGCCAATACCACCCATGCCCCAAATTCCTATGACACGGACATCTTCTAACCCTTTACCTATTAGTGATTCTAAATCCGCAATTTTTTCTTCAATCCCAACAAGGCCTGTGAAGTCACTTTGATACACATTATTTAACTTGTTTGACAAAGATTGGGCAACTTCTTCAATAAGCTTAGCTTCATCCCTATAATAAACAATCACAAGAAAGTAAAATTGGTGGACAAAATTAAGTGATATCATTGTGGAAAAAATGAAGTAGATCATGTCTTTTACCCTAAAGAATTTCTCATTTCTTGAGGCTAGATGAAGAAGATAAACTTGGTAAAGAAAAGAACTTACCCGTACTTTGATGAATGAAATCCAGATAAATTAGCAGCTTTGTTCATAGCAGATTTCCAATTTGGCACCGCTTGCTTGTAATTTGAGTCATGCTCAGCAAAAGCATCTGCATAAGATCCTTTCTGATGCCTCACATCTGATGGATCTATGTTGTAGAAAACTGGAATCACAATCTGTTGATATCTGTCCTTACACTCCATGATTTTCACCAGCTCTTTCAAGCACCGTGTTGAAGAAGCATAGTTCTTTGAAAATATTATAAGCGAAATGAATGA